AAGTATATAAAGATAAACAGCTCTTTGGAATCACTCTGCGCTCTAACAGGTGCCATTGTTCTTGGGTCTGACATCTAATCATACATTGAGAATACAGAATCTAGCAAAAGAGTGTCACACACACACACACACACACACACACACACACACAAATATGTGGAGCCCAGTGCTCAATTTTACTTACTAATTTTATAGATTTGACAGTTTCTTGTAGCCAGGTTGGCCTTGAACTCTGTCAGACCCATCCACTTCTACATCCTATGTTCTGGGATAACAGGTGTGCAGCAGCAGGCACTGGCTTATGCACTGCTAGGGATTGAACTAAGCTTCATGTACACTAGGCAAGCACTCTAGGGACTGCAGTCCTTCATATTTATGTTTTTTAAAAATGTATTAATTGTGTTATTTCTTACCAACTTTATGTGTGTGTTTTTGCCTCTTTCTCAGTCAGCCAGAATGGTCCCAGGCATGTAAGAGGTGTGGATTGAGAATTTGTCAAGGGCTGGGGATGTAGCTCAGTGGTAGAACACCTACCTGCTTAGCAGACATGAAGTCCTGGTTCAGTTGCCAGTATGTCTAAAACAATAGACACAAAGACAGTGTCAAATACATACGGAAAATCAGATGTATTTATCAAGACTGCAGAGTTGTAAAAGAACTGATCATTTTTGCAATGAGAATTTGCTGATTGAAGCCCAGGGTAGTGGTACACCCTTAATCCCTGCACTGGGGAGTCTGAAGCTGGAGGAGCTCCAGGGTAGTCTGGGTCATGTTGTGAAACCCTGTCTCAGCTAACTAACATAGAGAATTGAGTCAGATTTTACATTTTGCTGGGGACGTAGCTCTGTTTGATTCATAGCACTGCAAACTAACAAACCAGCCAAAAAACAACAATTGTAGAGGAGTGTTGGGGGGTTATGCCCAAATTACATTATAAACTTGTATGAAAATGTCCTTATGAAACCTCGTGCCATGAGCAACGAATATATGCCAATTAAAAATACTAAAAACCCAAGTTACTGAAAGAATGTGAAATGGATTTTTTAAACTTTCTGGTAGTTCTCAGCCTCTAAGAAAATCAAGTTAATTTAAATGTATTATTTATCTCCCTTAGAAAAGTCAGTCCCAGAGAAGGAGTGGCTTTAAAATTCAAACATACTTATTTTCTGAAGTGTTATGATAATGAAAGGTTTCTGTTTTATGCCTTAATAGTTTTCCTTCTCCCCCTGGAAAGAAGGAGTCGCTGGAACAGAATCAGCTTCAGAGGATACATTGGGCTTAATCTGTGTGCTTGGCCTCTGAGCACTGTGGAGAGACATCTTGGCCTGTGCGTGGACAGTGACCTCAACTTAGCGGGGTGAGAGTCAAGGCAGCAGACTGGCACATCTCACACAGAGCTTTCATACTCTGTCTCTCTGGAGGGTCATGGTATACACTGATACAGGCCAGGCTGGGATTATGACCTTAGTTTACAAACAAGGATCTGAGGGCCCGAGAGGCTAACCTATGAAAGTGGAGCTCCAAACACCCATTTATGGACGAAGGTGAGGTGGGTGATTGGATCAGGACTCATGTAGGAGCATGTGCAAGACTTGCTTATGCAGAGGAAGCATGGCTGTGGCTTGTTTATTTAGGTGTGTATTTATTTTTGAGACAGGGTCTCGTGTATCCTAGACTGGTCTCAAAGTCCTTATTTAGCCAATGTTGACCTTTACTCTCTGATCCTCCTGCCTCCACCTCTAGACTAATGGGTTTACAGGTATGTACCACCATGCCTGATTATGCAGTCCCAGAGATCAAACTCAGGGTCTCATAACATGCTAGGCAAACTCTCTATCAACCAAAATACATCCCCTGTCTGAGTTTTTGAGACAGACAGCCTGGATCCAGAGCCTGGTTCAGCCATACACTGACTCAAGCACATCATTGCGTCATTGCGCATTTGTAAAGTCTTGATTTTCTTCTCTATAGAGATAGACTCATTATCAATCTTGCAGGACTTTTGAGTCAGATAAGCACAAGTAGGTGACTATGCTGCAGGAATAGCTATTCTGACTCTTATCATAGTTGTGTTGTCTGTGTGCAAGTGTTAGTTTTTCTTAACTTGGGTTCATACTCATTGGTGTTCATAAATTCATATTGCTATATAGTCTAGTCAATTATTTTAAAATGTTATTATATACCCCCCATGTGTGTGTGAGTGTGTGTGTGTGTGTGTGTGTGTGTTGACCAAAGATATTTTGAGTTACAATGTATTTATCTCGACATAACCTCATCTAAGTCAAGGGGTATCTGTATCATTAAAAGCAGACAGAATGCATGATCTAATCTGGAGGAGCAAGAGCAGTTCTCAGGGGATGCAGCGTTTAAGGAAGCAGAGGAATTAATGAAACCAGAGGGCAAATGAAGAAACCTTCCAAGCTGTGAGAACAGCATGGGTAAAGACCCAAGACAGAAAACGGTAGCACATTCCAAGGTCTAAAACCTGTCAGTGCTTCAGCAGTGAGCCTGCCCGACAGCATGAGATCAGATAGGTGGGACGAGCCGGGCTGTTCTGATTCCATTCTTACTGGAAAGCAGAACTTCTGAAAACTTTTCCATTCCTGACCCTTTTTTGCCTGAGAAAATTGTATATAACCTCTTGTATCCGTTTAAGAAATAAGTATGAGCCAGGTGTGGTGGTGCACACCTTTAATCCCAGCACTCGGGAGGCAGAGGCAGGGGGATTTCTGTGAGTTCAAGGCCAGCCTGGTCTACATAATGAATTCCAGGACAGCTGGGGCTACAGGGAGACCCTGTCTCAAAAAGACCAAAAGAAAAAGAAAAGAAAAAAAAATAAGTATGAGAGTAAAACATTTGCTGATAGTGAACCATAAATTTATTTTAAAACATTGACCAGTTAGGAAAGAGGAAATCAAAGATGCATACTAATGAGACGCTGTCTTGTTTATTTTTACATGGAGTAGGTCCTGGCTGAATACTAATCCTGCAGGTTGAGGAGCATCTTCATTGTTTCTCAGAGTAGGTCCATATTTCAGTTTTATGTTTGTTAATTCAAAAAACGACACTTCTTGTAAATACACAGCACAAAAGAAGTATACTTAAATCCATTTCAGAAGTTGAAGTCAAAATTTATATAATGGTTTTCTATGAAACGCAAAAAAATTTAAAAATATCAAACATTGTGACATAGTACAGTCCAAAGATAAACTTAATTACCTACATGCTGAGATATGACTGTAGGAAAATAGTGAAAAATCCTTGTTTTCCATAATTAAACCATCATGATTCTGTAAGAGTACTGTAATTCGTAGCATGCAATAATCTTGAATCTGGCCTAAGGTGTTTTAGGCAACGTTCAGCAGCATTGTGTGGTATGAGGGCTTATGCAGCACAAACCGTGTATGTTGTATGTTCAGAATTAAGGCTGAAGAGAAGTTAATACAATGCAACAAGGCACGTGCTGCCCCAAACACCTCTAGTTCACTGTGCATTTGTTTTTGAATTCACTTTCAGCAGTTGGGTGTTCAGAAAACTTCAACTGTTGCTGAATTTTTCCCAATCCTCACATGGAGTCATGACCCACATCTTAAGTAGGTTTGTCCTAGAGCACCAAGAAGCCATTGAAAGATGTTTGACTGGAGGTGGAGAGGTAGGAGGTGACTCCATTAGATTTATGTGCTAAAAGTGTTATCCTATGTATCAGTTAATTGTAAGATGTAAGTCTTGGGGCTGGAGAGATGGTTAGGCAGTTAAAAGTGTGTAGTGCTCTTATAGAGGACCTGAATTTAGTTCCCAGCACTCATGTTGGGTGGCTCACAACTATTTACAACTCAGGCTGTAGGGGACTCTCTTCTGGACTCCTTGGCCACCTGCACTCACATGCATACACATACGCATATCCGTGCAATTAAGAATAAAGGTAAAATCTTAAAGAAGATGCTAATCTTCTTTTAATATGGATTTTAAAAAATAAACACCATCTTTGACTACTAGGAACCTGAAGTGTATGGAAATTTGATGATATCAAGAGCACTGATGGTGATTGGACTGGGTGATAGACACATGGGTTTCATGATACTCCTCTCCAGAATTCTGTATGCGCAGAATGAGGGACAAGCATGAGAGGGGGAAGGAAAGATTGCAGTGGTTTCAGCATAGGAGAACTGATTTGCCATTGAGGGTAGGTCACTTGCAGTGGCCTAGGTAAGAATGCTAGCTGCTTAGAGATACAGCTAGGTGGGCAGGTTTTCTGGAAGTAAGGTAGACATGACTTGGGTATGGATTGGATATAGGACTGAGGGTAATGGTGGGCCCTGGGTAGAGGTGCCCAACTGAGTTAGACATCCCTTTAGTAGGACCAAGCAGGCCCTGTGGCCCATGGTGCTTTCCTATACCACTGGTCTTAGCCTTTCTAAACTATAGTTATTGAAGCTGCTCCATTACCAATACCTTTCAGCCCAGACTTCCTGCATTTCAGTGCACTCAGCAATTAATTAAGCTTTGGAATGCATGCATTAATTAAAATCCTCTCCCAGGTTCACAGGGACTGTCCTGAAATATGTAGGCTCACCTCCTTCCTGGGGTGGGTTCCTCTGTCTTCCAGTAGGTACACAGCTGTAGGTAGGTGTGTGTGTGTGTGTGTGTGTGTGTGTGTGTGTCTGTCTGTCTGTCTGTCTGTCTGTCTGTCTGTCGTACCCGTCACACACTGTAAGTTCATGTTTAAGGAGCCTGGGTCTGGAGAAGTCAATGCCTTGTAAATTGCTCTCCAAGGTAGAGGCAGAAATAGCAGCGTCTTGAGCACATCTTTTACAGAGCTGCACTGATTGGAGGTGTCAGCCCCACTATGGAGAGTGGCACGTGCTGGCTGTCCCCTCTCACTTGCTGCCTGGCCATCCTTGGGAGCCAGAACAAGAGAGCCCAGCCTCCACTGATTGGGTCCAGGTTTTCTTGCCTAGCCCCTGCCTGACTGTGTCACCCTTTCTCCCCATGCTGCTCAGGTTATTTTCGGATGTGACGGCTGAGACATGAGATCTTCAGCCTCCAGGCTCTCCAGTTTTTCCTCAAGAGATTCACTATGGAATCGGTGAGTGGTCCCCGGCCAACCCCGTCTGGGAAACCCAGCTGGGAAACGTGCGGATGCTTTTGGGGTTCAGATGCAACACTGATGTAAAGCAAGCACAGAAGTGGGTCAGAAGCAGCATCAGCATGAATATCCCTGGTGATGGGCCATCTGGCATTTACGGCATGATGGACTTCTAAAAGTTATCTTTTTTACTTTACATTTGTTTATTGGTTTATTGTATGTATGTGTACGTGTGCAAATGGCATGGTATACCTGCGGAATCAGAGGGCAACTTGGAAGAGTTGGTTCTCTTCTTCTACCACGCAGGTTCTGGGCATCAAACTTAGGTCTTCAGGCTTGGCAGCAAACTCCTTTACCTGCTGAGCTAGCTTGCCTGCCTGCCCCTTTTTTTTTTTTTTTTTTTAAGACAGGTCTCGTATAGCCCAGTCTGGCCTCAGATGCAGTATGTAGCCAAGGAAGACCTTGAATTCCCTATCCTCCTGCTTTCATCACCAAGTACTGGGATCACAGGCACGCACCACGACGCCTGTTTATGTGGTGGCAAGGATGAAACCAAGGCTTTTTGAATAGTAAGAAAACACTACCAACCCTTTCACAAAGTTTCCTACCACATTCATCATCTGTCATGTTTAATCCAAAGGAAGTGGGGGCCACAGTGGGTACTAGAAAGTGGTCAGGAACATTGTTGGTGACCCAAGCAGTAGTTGTTAGCCAGTTTAAGTTATTTGGAGACTGTTGCCTTCTGTCTGCCCAGAGACCCTTCCAGGTGGGAACAACTGTATTCACTTGCCCAGCTGGATTTTCCCCTGCTCCCCTGGCGCTCACTATCCCTCGCCTCCGCTATGTTGTCCCTTTATGGAAGTAGGTTTACCACATTTGGCAGCTGGGAATATTGAACCCTGGAGCTGGGACAGATAAGGGAGAGGATGAGAAGTCCAACCTCAGTGGCCAGTTAGAAATCAAGACTACACAGGAAGAGCTGTGGGAAAGTAGGTAGAGAAACCTATGAAGTCATTAGGGTCAGCTGACAGGGTTGATTTACTGAAGCTAGTGTTGTCAGCAAGCAGCTTGGTGTGAGACAGGCAAGCGCTGGAGGGAGTGGCCAGTTCCTGGCCCTGGTTCCCACTTGTGTGATCTCAGTCAAGCCACTGGCCTTATCTCTTTCTTCTGCTTCATATCTGTGAAAAGGGGTAATAAATATTTATAGTGCAGATTTTTTTGGCACAGGTTAAAAAAGAAGTTATGCAATAAACTGCATTGTGTAAGGTAGGCACATAGCACTGTAATTATTTCACTTGTAGGATGAAAATAATTTTTAAGGATGGGTTCTGAATGGGGAGATGGTTTAGTGGGTAAAGTGCTTACTGCACAATCGTGAGTCACTGAATTTAGATCTCCAATACCCATGTAAAAGCTGGTGTGTTTGTAACTCCAGTGCTGGGAGGCAGGGGTGGAGAGGGCTATAGACCGGCTGATCCCTGGGGCTCACTGCTCAGCCAATCTAGCTGAAACAGCCCACTCCAGGTTCAGTGGGAGACCCTGTCTCCAAAAGTAAGGTGGAGAAACAACTGAGGAAGACATCTGGGTATCAGCCTCTGGCTTCAGCATGTATACCTGCATACACATGCAAACCAACACACACACACACACATACACACACACACACACACACACTGAATGAGTGGGAGAAATGAGAAAGGAATTTAAACTGAGGCTCTTGACGTGACTCAGACATGAGGTGACAAGAAACTGTTACCATGGAAATGAAGCTTTAGGTGCCTACTTTCGTAGTCTATTACAAGACTCCTCAAAGTCATGCTTTTTTTTTTTTTCCACTGAATGAAATCATATCTTGTGTTGCACCAAATTTCCCCCGAGAGAGCATGGTTCTAAGTAAACCATCACAGTGTTCCTCTTAAGTTACAGTTTGGGGAATAAGAATATTTGGGCTTGCCAACAAAGTTTAGAGGGTCACTTAGTAAAGGCATCAACTTTTATGGGCTCTTTCTCTCCCGTATTTGAGATCCATGCCATCAGCACACTACCTGCTACGGTCCGTGCACATAATTCCAAAATGGAAACTACCCCTCCCCTTTTTTCCCAGTGTGCTCAGCATTTTTTGGCCTCAGTCTCTAGGGGGTTCAGGTCTAGTTTCCTCGGAGGACATGCCTACCCAACACTCCACCCCTTCCTCTGGCTTTCAAGATCCTTCTGCCAGTCTTCTACAAGGATTCCTCAGCCTTGGAGTGGGTGACAGATGCAGGATGATCTTTCTTTTATCTTGGCGAGGTATTGACCTCTTGGGCCTCTCCATCATTCGTCTTCAAGACATGGCTGTTGGTCCATCTCAGTGATGTCTCCCCTACTATAAAGACAAATGGAAGGAAGCGGACATAGCTAAACAAACATGGGTTCTCATACAAATGCCTGGACGATAGACCAGCAGTTGTACCATATTTATCAAACAGCATTGTTTTTTTTAAGTCAAGTGTCCACAGCAAGAGGCATTAATTTTGCAAATATCTTTTTAGGGGATGTTATCTACACTGTAATCATAAGAACTCAGGGCGTTATTGGAATTAAGTTTTGCTGCAAATGACATAAAACCTAAAAGACCTTTGGCATAAAAAAATTACAGAAAGTAGGGCTGGGAGATGGCTCAGCAGTTAAAGTGCTTGCCATGTATCAGGACTGGCATTTGAATCCCCAGAACCCATGTAAATGCCATGTGGGCATGGTGGCCCGCCTGCAGTTCCAGCTTTAGAAGACAGAGATGGGGTCAGTCGTGTAAGCTGGCTAGCTGCATTGGTGAGCTGTGGGTTTGATTGAAAGGCCCTGCCTCAATGAATAAGTTGGAAGGACCATCAAGGATGATTCCTGATTTTAGGCTGCCACACACACACAGCCACATGCACATGCATGTGCACACATACATATGCCCCCACACATGTGAATGTAGATACTCACATGCACATTATATACACATACACATGAAAAAATATAGATAGTATATTCTTTTTTCTAGAATTTCAGACGCAGGTGGTATAGAGATGCTGTAGTAATCTGTGATACTTGGGCCTTTTTACCTGTTCTCTGCCATCTGGTTCTTCATTCCCAAGGCTCTCATTGTCCCACATTAGCTGCTTTTGCTCCAGCCATCACATTTACAGGAAGAAAGGCATGTGCTTGCTGTTTCTTCATATATGTTTTGGCCAAAATGTAATCCTCTGGCTACACTTACCTGCAGACAAGGCTTAGGAACTACAAGCTTTAATCAGTGAGAGTATGCTTACCAACCTGAGTGTTGTTAGCATAGACAGAGGAGAACAGATACTTGAGGACATGTCCTTGTGCATGATAACACATACTGAAAGATTGCTCTCGAGAGGGTAAGCTCTGTAGCCAGATTGCTGGCGTTCTCAGTCTTGGGTACAAATTCTGTGACCTTGGAGAAGCTACTGACCTCTCTGTGCCCCTAGCATTTTCACCTGTAAAAGCCTACTGCATATAACTCTGTAAGTGTTCTTCTGTGCAGTGGATGAGCTAAGGCAAAGCCCTCGGTTCCAGACCTGGAGCACCATTTGTGCTGCCTCAGCGATTACCCACTGCTTCCTCCCATCACCTCACCAGCCTCTCCTGAATCCCTGTGGCTGATTGCTGTCCTTGCTTGTGTTGCTGCCACCTCCTCTGTTCCCATTACCACCCCTTTGCCAGCCCTGCAGCTTCCATTAGTCCTGTCACTCGGCATCTGTCCCTTCTGCTACCTGATGCCAGTGCTGTGCCTCGTCTACTTCTAAGATCCTATGCTCACTGCCATCCCATGCTTGCTTTTGAATTTGATAGCACGGTGTCCCCCCCACCCCTTTTGAAGGGAAGAGTCAGATAATAACTACCCTGGGAGGGTAGAGGACATGGCACTGAAAAGGAACACGTAGCAGGCACCTGTATCTGCTCATCTGCTTTCTAATCCAGGTGCTGGTTTCTTGTGTGTAAAAGTCCTTGAGTCTTACACTTAAGATGTAGATGGTTATGTGTGCTTATCTTGTACTTCAAACAAATGTCTCTTTAAGGTGGGGAGATAGCTTAGTTGGGAAAGAGCATGCTGTGCAAGCATGAGGACCTGAGTTCGGTCCCCAGCATCCATATCCAAAAGCCAGGCACGGTGGCACATGCCTGTAATCCCAGTGCTGAGGAGGCAGAGGCAGGAGGATCCTTGGGATTTTCTGGCCAGCAAATCTAGCTGTGTTAGAGAGCAAGCTCCAGGGTCAGAGAGAGACCCTCTCTCAAAAAGTAAGGTAGAGAGTGATTGAGGAAGACTCCCCAACATGGGCCTTTGGCCTCCACACATATGCACACATATACACTTGCACCAGCACACATGTACACACACATACGTGTTCCTCAGCTGGCAGGTGGTGGAACATGAGTGGTGTCATGCCTGGCTGATTCCAAAGCCTGCGAGGTTCTCTGTCTGCATTTCTTTTGGTCATTTGCATAATTCTTTCATTGAAGGGTCATTAGTCCATTGCATATTCCTTAGGTGCTGGAAACTAAGCTAGGATGCTTGGGAGTCAGGGTGCATACAGGTGACACAGCCTACTTTGTGGGGCTCTGTCTAGAAAAGGTGAGTACCATTCAGACTGACAGTCATCAGATTAGGTTCAGTGTGGGATGCCCTGGGGTCATAGGGTGGGCCTGGAAACCAGCCTAACCACTCCACTGAGTGATTGATGGGGAAAAGTTCCCACTTTAGAGTGCAAGCTGGACACATGTGAGCCACAATTAGCCATTTAAAGCAGTGTTCCCCACCCCGCCAACAAGCACTAAGAATGAGCCAGCTTTTCTTGTCCTCTCTGCCACTGTCACAGTTATGAGCCTACCTGCTCTTTTATGCGGGAGGCTGGGGCTAGAGGTAAAAGGAAGGACAGGAGTAGACTTCCTACAGTCATCGAGACAGTGTGAATGGATAGAGGAATGGATAGATGATTGTGATCATAACC